AATTTTGAAAGCGTAAACACAGATATGCTATGTATCCGTGCAGAGAGAGTGCTGCAATACAGGCAGGGGAATGAGTAATGGAGTAAAGGAGGTGGACCCTGCAGAAAAAGATGTGGGCCACAGATGGGGAAACAGAAAATCTGTGTTTTTGAGGAACAAGAAACGAAATTTCTGATGTCTGATAAAAGTATTTGTAAAAAAAAAAATTTCAATGTGCATTTAGACACCAACTGTCACAAATGGGATTATTTAAATAAATATCTTGGTTTGTGAATATTAGTCCAGTTTACAACATAGCTAAATGTTTTTCTGGGTGTGAAGTCTTCTCCACTTTCTCTCACAGTCTTCATTCTCTCTGTCTGTCTGTCTGTCTGTCTATCTGTCTGTCTGTCCATTCAACCATCTGTCCGCCTTCCCTTCCTCATTCCCTCCCATCCTCTTTCTGTCTTTTCTCTAAAGTTAGCTTTCTCTGTTTGAGTCAACTTAATCTCTCAAATATCATCACTTTTTTATTCCAATACTAACAGCACAGATGTAAACTATATTTACAACAAACCCTATCTTACCATATTGTTGACACTCACTGTAACTATAATCAAGCATGTATAAATGCATATTTAGTTGGCATTTTAATTGTTGCTTCATAAGAATATCATCTCATCCATAGTTTTATGCATATTTCTTTTTTTCCACAGTCGGTTTTGGAAATTGCTCTAAAATTGCTAACACAATGGTCAATAATTCTCTTTTCACTGATCTTTTCTATAAACAAAATTTTTATTCTATTCAACCACTTCTTTATTACCATCCACGTTAATTTGTTATGCCATGTTTAATGCCACTATAAAGGTCACAAAACAGGCTGTGCATGTATCATATGTCAAGGATTTTAATTTCCAAGAGATATATTCAAAATAATACAGTTAATAAAATTTACATTTCCTCAGACTGTAAGAAAATAGCTTTTCTCATTTTTCCAGCCATGATTAAATATGTATCACTCTTTCACATATAAGAAGGGATAGCTGCCTTTTTAAAATTTTACTGTTTTCTCTTTGCAGGTGGACTTCAGGAATTTATATGTTTATTAG